TCCCATAGGTATGCAAAAAGTAACTAGCTACTCGAACAAATGATTAAATTCCTACGAATCGCTAATTATTACGAGGTACTCATTACTTATATGCTACGTAACACGACCGAATTCGATATGTACAATACTCTGAATTACTCCACTAAAAGGTGATTGTCCACAGTACCCGCGTACCCGTCAGCCCGTTAACATCCAGCCTGCCAATGCTTGCCAACCCAAAGGGTTCCCCCCCCTGTGTGTGACTTCATTTCGCAAAGTCCATTTAATCGCCCTTTCCCTGTTGTTCCTACTGTCCCTGCCACACGCACTGACTGAAAATAGTAGTTGCCAACGACGCTACCCCCGTTTCTGATTTTTTCTTTTCCCTTATGTTAAGTTCCTTGTAAGTGTTCCATATCTCCCCACTGCCGACCGCCACAGTCCCTCTATCGGTTCCCTCTAAACTTCTCCCCCAAGAAACTGAACCACCTCGAACCACTACTACCATCACCACCACCACCAAATCTGGAGCCCAATCCAAAACTTACAACATTCCAACACGAACGAGCTTCGTCCCCATGCCTGCGCTGGAAACGCATTGAAGCAGTTCGCGTCAGCCCCAATATCCACAACTTCCTTTTTTTTCCGTCATCGCTAATTGGTCTCTCAGTCTGACTAAAGGGACCAAAAGTAAAGGAGAAACATCAATATAATCTGCGTGTAATAACGTCCCGGTTGCTGCGGTGCGACGGCGTTTTGGAGGTCTTGTCAATTCGAGCAAGACGCAGTTAGTAACTGCACGAATTGGATTGCGATAGATTTCGGCGAACCGAATCGGCTGGTGACATTCAGTTCAATACTTTACTGATTATATGCATAATTCGAGTTAATCCGCGCCCATGGCGATAATCAGTCTGCGGCGATCGTTACCCAGCATCATCGACAGGAACCCGCAATCGCGCATTGTGATATAGCCTCGCTAATATTTCCTACAACCAAGGCCGACCGTCGACCTTTGGAAATATGGCCTTGTGGCCTTTCCGCCGCAGGGGCTCGCGCAAGCGATCTCGAACGCCAGCCCTCGGTTCCGATGCCGACACTTCAGAGCGTGGTCGTCAACCGCAACCACCATCGCGAAGTCAGACCGAACCCGTCGATATTACAACAGGCAATGAGTCTCTAAGAGGAAAGCGAGATGGTCCTCACAAGTTACAACGGCGCCAACGTACCTATAGCTTCTCCCCCGGGCGTCGAGATTCTATACGCGTTGAAAAGACGAAAAAGGGACCGGTTATATCGTTACCTGCCGACTCTATACCGACCGTCGCAGATGAAGCATATAGGGGCCACGGATTACCACCGGGATCTAACGACGACCTCGCGACTCGAGTGCCGACTTTGCATCATGAGAACTCACGAAACAAACGACGGGGCCAGCCCTTACCACGAAAAAAGTCCAGTAAACGCCGGAAAGAGGACCATAGCCGGGAGGCCGAAATCAAGGCTATGAGCCAGTTTATGCCAGTACGCCCTGCTGCGGACGCCTGGCCAGCTGGCCGCTTAATGAAAAGGGAGAGCAGACGGACAAGGCCAGGTTCAAGCAGGAACTGGGATGAACCTTCCTCCGATATTTCATTGCCTATGCCTCGCTCTATCCATTCGGCTATGTCGACGGACTCGGAACAACTCTCTTGGAAGGTCTCTACCTTTGAGGCTCTTGCACCTCGCCCGACACTACGATGTGCTGCCAATCCTGTTTATGGACCAGCAGCCAGTAGTGCGTTAACCCGATCTCAGTCCACGAAGCGGAAACTTGCAGAAAGGAGCCCAATTCCCGAGGCTACACTCCGAGCTCATAAGAGGATTGATAATCTAGCGGACGACTTGGATGCATCAGATCTACGGGAATTGATGGAACGAGACAAGCGGAGGAGAGAAAGGAAGAAAGAGAAAGAACGTGAACGAATAGAGAGACGTCTCGCTAGGAGAGCAGAGAAGCAGCGAGCAGAAGAAGCAGAGGCTGTTAAAAGCGGTACTCCACCGCCCCAAAATCTGGAGAGAGGTGTTATGGGTCGTGAAATGGCTGGCGAAGATCCGGCTTCAGTAGTTATCACATCATCGAGAAGGAGACGCTCGGATGACTCGCCACGGAGACATAGCAGGCAGCAGGAAGAATTGGAAACCCGTGGGGATTCACCAAAACCTCTGGATGAGTTCCATCGCACGGAAAGTATTCCCCTTGAGCGGTCTACTCCAGCCAAGGCTGCGAAATCCGAGCAAGTGCCCGAGCCTTCCCAAGAGCAGCAGAAGCAACAGCCATCTTCGCGCTCCTCGAGCCCGAAAATATTAAGTTTCATTCGTACGAGGACTTCGCGCTCGAGGTCACCCAAAGATTCCGCCCGAACCAGGGTTGATATTGAACAACCTTCACCTTCACTAACTAAGCTAGACTATGCAGAGTCTAGTAGCAGGGTATCCGACGCCGGCTCCGCGAAACCGTGGAGGTCATTCTTCAGATGGGGTAAGAATAAGCGCAGTTCCGGCCCGTCATCTTTTTCGAACACTTCACGAGATTCTATGTTAGCAGGCCCACCGCCAGCACATCAAAATTTCGTACCGCGAAAAATCAGCTCAGGCGTACCCAAGAGGACTATGTCTCGTTTCCGAGAGGACCTTCCTGAGTTGCCTATATCCCCTCCAGACTCGCGAGTGGCCTCCCCTGATGCCGATCCTCTACCTGTGGACCCCCTGCCCGTAATCCCTGATGACGTGCAGATGCGCTATGATACGCCAACATCAGGCCGTCGATCACACGACGTTATGCGGGCGACTCCTATTTCCTGGCAGCGAGATGAAATCCAGTCGTCGCCGGCGCCACATTCTATGTCGCTCGCCTCTATCGATTCGGAGGCATCTTGGCTCTCGGGCCGCATGAATAGGAAGCGAGCCTCATCGGGTATGAGAAACTCGCTTCAACAGTACGCTCAACCTGCTTTCTCTATGGAATGTGAGGAACATGCTTTAGACGACGAGAATATCGTCGAGGATGAGTATATGAATAGCGTCGTCCCCACTCGTTCACATGAAAAATCTACAGGTGAAGCTCGTCCAAGCAGCGATGAGGAAGATGAAGACTGTGAAGCTAAGTGGGGTGCTGTTGGTCAAACACCTACCGTACACCACAGAGATACCATGCGAAGCAGAGAAGGCTTTCTTCAGTCTTTTGATGACGACGATGAGAAAGGTCTCGAAAAATACAGCGACGATGAAGAAGAGGGTCAAAGTCCTGTTCAACCGCAGAGAGCAACTAGCGTCAACCTTGATAAGGGTCACGCTCGGAATTTCAGCGCGGGTAGCGCTAAGCTGCTAGAGATCTCCCCTCGAGCATCTGGTGAGATCAGGCGGAGTTTACTCGACCGCGGCACTCAGTAGGTGCTATATGCTGACTAGGAGCGAGTGGGTTGACACTACTTGGCACCAAATATTTCAACACGAAACAGGTGCACGATTTAAGCCAGGAGATACGATTGACATTCATCCCCCCTTTCCTTGCGTTTACATACGACCAATTGCTACCAGCTCAACCACATTCATTTGACATTTCCTTCCTCTCGGATACCGACCTTATTCACTCATTACAACCTTTCTTTTCATGTCTCAACGCATAAAACACCAGAAAAAAAGTTGAAAAAGAAAAAGAATTATCCGGTCTATCTCCTGGCTCAATGGTCGGAATATTACACCCTTTCAGGTTGCCTTTCAGGGTGCCTCTCAGGGTCAACCAAGAAAATGGAAACTCCCAGCTTCATTAGGTATCCAGCCAAATGCGCTATCCTCATTGAACATTTCGATGTGCATATCACTCCCACGATATGCCATGTATCTCTACCGACTTCTTACTTCATATTTGCAGAAACATGTGGAGGAGGGGTAAAATATGGCTTGTTTTTTATTATTCTTGATATACTGCGATACCACAGGGGTTATGTGTTTTTATTGCGCGTGGCTTTGTTATCTGTTTTTTGATACCACTCATATTCTGCTGCAGCGCAGGGGTTCATGAGGCGTCCAGGGAGATGCCCACAGTGATGCATAGATGTCTTCTCACACACTGACCGACCTAAATTTCGATAGCTTGTACTTCGGTCTATTCGAATTGATACCTCTTAGGCAGGGCTAAGGATTCGTGCATGCTAGGCAAACGCATCAAATCTACAATGTTATCATGGGATTATTGATGTTAACTCACATGCTCATGTGGGAGACTACTGGGAGTCTACTAGCCAACCCGATCGCGATGCGTTTTCCGGGTTTCGAATAGGGTGAAGGGGCCTGGGTTGGCGAGCAGGTAGGGGAACAGGTGTTCAGGATTGGGAAAATTTAGATGTTCGAATCAAACTAGAGGTGCTCGGAAATATCTGTGAGGCCAACTTGGGCCATTTATACCCTTGCCTTGCCTGTAACGTCGGAGTTTAGGTTGGTCACGTTGTGTACATGTATGAAGTATAATGCTTGTAGACTTGCGAGCTAGAGAAGAATTTTTGTTTTCGATCGATTTCATCGAGGGCCAAGTCACTTGTGAAATGTAGTCTTATATGATCGCCATCAGATTCATGCAGAGATTCATACAGACCCCCCTGGTATTCAAAAACTCGTAAATCCAGACGCCTGGTCATCAGGATTTTCTTTAGTGTAACCCAAAGGATCACGGGTATGCAGTGAGATGATTTGGGATTTACAGGTAGTTAACTGTGCAGAAACGTCATATTCAAATTGTGACGTGTCGAATGCTAATAAAAGTCGGTCAAATTTCAGAGCAAAAAATTACCACGTGATTATCTTTATTTGTAAACGTTTTGAACAATATAGATAATAAGATGTAACTAGTCCTTTACTAATACTGTTGGATTGACTCTGTATTACGTAATAGAATGAAAAGGAATGCAAGTAAAGACTGTGTTCTGATTGGTTGTTATTAAGGTAAGAGAGGAGGGGTGGTTCCCCCGAGTGGGGAAAGATATCTATTGTACAAATGCGCGGGCTGTGCGTGGGCGATGTGTGGGGGCATAAACATTGTCACGTGACGAGGTCACATGACCGTTATCCCAACAAATACTGCTTATAAGATATACAATTTGGAATATTTTATGGAATCAAATTAGCAATGATCGGGAAAATATTTTGTATCGTGCATGGATAAACTACATACTAGACGCCACGAAACGCAGGTTAAAACGCGCTATAGGCCACACTTAAAAAGATTACGAATCACGTCATTAGAAGAACTGACAAATCAAAATTACATTATCAGCTAGAAAGATACTAGAAAGGTATTCGAACGGTATGTAACACTCGACCTGTTCGGCAACGCATTATTGATCCGAATTAGCTAACTATTACCTACTCAATTATACAATCACGTTTCTTGGCATAGCCTTGCTTCCTTCCCGTTCCTCAGAAGCTAATACAGATACGATACATAAAACCCACCAACACCCCGCGTCTTTTCCCCACTGATCATTCTACTTTTCCCCTCCATGTCAAGAAACTTATTCCGAACAGCCCAGTCTACTTTTAGGCAATCTTACAGACCGTCGCACATCTCATCACTGAGACAGTTTCATACTACGTCGCCCAGAATGACTGTACACAACTACCAGACGTAAGTCGCATATATATTTAAGCCCCTCCATAGACATGAAAGCAGTTACATTAGACCTGATGTACCCCGCTCTATTATATGCTCCGTGTCTCCGATGTGTCGACGGCATCGATGCTAACGTTGCATTGCGCAAAGTGCCGATTCCTTCAAGGAGGCCGTTAAGAACAACAAGGTCGTCCTGCTCGACTGCTTTGCCACTTGGTGTGGTCCTTGCAAGGCCATTGCTCCCATCCTAGCGAAGTGAGTTCCACATCCGAAATCCCTCACAAGCGAGGCGCTATATCATTATCGCCTATAATCCTTGTGCCCAGGGCAGTGCGTCGCTAACCATGTATAACGATAGCCACTCGAACGAGGAGCAGTTCAAGGACATCCATTTCGCCAAGATCGACGTTGACGACCTACCCGACCTGGCCGAAGAGCTCGGAGTCACCGCCATGCCTACCTTCCTGCTCTTCAAGGACGGCGAGTTGGCGCCTGCTGAGAAGCTCGTCGGCGCAAACCCTAACGCGCTCGTTACGCTTCTCAAGAACAACGCCGCCTGATTGGTGACCTGTTTGTCGGGTGGGGTCGGTCGGTTGAGAACGAAGTATGAATAGAGGGGCGTGCGAACTTGGCGTCGGCCGAGAAAGGATATCCCACAGAGCTCGAGGTCGCATTCATCGGTACGGGTGGTCGCGGAGGAGGCTTTGTCATGTTCATGAGTATAGTTTTTGCTTTATTAATAGAGTAGCGTTTACGAAACCCTGAATAAATGAATAATTCCTAGTGCATAAAGTATTTCAGCCATAATGTCTTGCGATATCCTATCCACGAACCGGCGAACGTCTTTTTAGGTTATCTCTATAAGTTGATATTGCCGAAGACATCGAGTGATGGAGCCTGATCGCTTGCTTACAGTGACATATTCAATCCTTGGAATCGAAAAGCTGAAGGTGAGAGATTCATAGCTGTTTCTATTGCAATTTAGAAACTATTTAACAGGCCTTCTTATATTACTTCCAAGTGGGAGACAGTATCTAATCCTCACCTATTAATTTAATGGGAGTTATTACGGTACATATTTATCAAAGTTAACAAATTAAGACTGAACATACGTTCAATAGGCGTTGCTTAAAGGATGGTATAAGCAACGTCGACCAATTAAGCTTGCGAATAGTTACATACATATCATTTTACCCACACTTGATGATGTAGCTAATAGTCTTAACTTAATTTTTCATAGCCTTTGATAATACGTAACAATACAATGCCTAGCTTTCCTTTTACTTTTATCAGGACGCTTACTTCATTTTCTAGGTCGGGTTTACAAGAAATTGGATTTACTCGATATAACTAACAGGTGCCAGGTACCTAGATATTTATCGATGTATTGCTTTTACTTGGTTTGGATTTGGCAATAAGAATAAGACAAGTTGGGTATCATTAGCTTCCAATTGTACATATGTTTAGGGGAATTTCTTTAGCTCAATCCGACTATTTCGGAGTTTTGATTTGTTGGTCGACAAGGTTAGGTTTATTGATAGATCTCACGTAGTAAAATAACCCGTTGGCTGCTGTTAATATGCGGCTCTATATGTGGTACCTGACTAATTTCTGCAGTGACGCGTACCACTTACGTAACAATTCTATAGGCTTGCCCCTGAATTGTCAACTGCACGCCAAGGACGGGAGGTCCCTCTTTGACGTAGGTATGTTACATAATATAATCTATCAACTTGGTGGGTCTTCATTTTCATAGCAACAACAGGTAGGTACATAGCAGTTATTTTATAAGGTTTGAGGAATATTGTATTTGAAGTTACCTGCTCTAATATCTTTGAATTTATCTAGGTACTTTATGCGGTTGAAATAGAATAACCTCTTGTTAGTTGCTTGTCGCGATATGTTAACATCTAACCTAATAATAAGTCCTTTGCGCGGAAGTGGTTTTTAGCTTTCAACCGTACCCCTCGAGCTCGAACGATTCAAGTGTATGAAGAGATCTACTCATGGATCAGATAAGAAATGATTGGTTAAGACCATATAGAGTACGGTTGACCAGAGCTGAAATTAGGGCTGCCACTTCTGCACGAGCCATGGCACAAGGGGTCGGGACCAAAACTCCTCGCATTGGGCAATCAGATCGTAACTGATAATAATCAGTGCCGCCTCTGTGGGGAGAATGTGGGCTGCAGGATCATTTTGTCGAGTGTTCATGTACAATACCTAATTATAGACTTAGACTTCTCTATGCTTTGTTCGGCTTCGGACACCAAATGGTCTTTGATTGGTTAACTTCTTTTATTTCGCTCTTTTGGTTTTAACCCCGTGTTACACTGTTATAACTCTCCATGATAGTGGTAGTTAAGAAAGCATTCGTCAACTCTAATTCTGTTTTCTGAACCCCCTTTCATGACTTATCGAATTGCTATGTTAGGTAGAGGTTAAGCGATGGACAACATGATGACGACTCCTCCGACCTCAAGGACATTAGACAACACGTCAAGATCAGATTTCCCGCAGCTGCTAAGATTTTCCCCATCAAACATGATCTTTACGATGAGTAGTGCTCACTCCTCTGTGACCTGTCGTAACCATTTGCAGCTTCTTTAGTGGAGTTCCGGGTAAGACTCTTTCTGCCCCAGTTTATGTAGATATCAATGTGATATATCTCCGCTATGATACGTAACGAGCCCTAGCAAAACGTAGAAAATTGAAACCAGGATGGGAACGGTCGCAAGGCTTAGCGCAAGCCTCACTACTGACGGCCTGTATGTATGTATGTATGTCTCCTCGTCTCTTTAATGACCAGGCGAAAAAGTTGTTTCATTAACACGCGTCCTGATTTCGTGCGCTAGGTGATTTTGACGATCCCTTCCTATTCCAGTTGACTCCAGCCGCGAGGCAACATAGCGCTGGAGGCTCTTGAGGGACCCTTGTGTGAGGTTAGAAACACTTTCCCCACGTAAAGAGTCTACGCACGGCTCTGAGGGAACGCTGACAGCTGCTTTTTTATTCTGTCGTCGTAAGCACGTCGTATTAGTAGGAACGTCCAGATGTCCGGTGCGTGTATGTATCTACTTCTACTATTGGCCAGAGAACTGCACAATAATAAAAGTAGATTGCAGCTTAGAGGTCTCCTTATGGACCATTCTCACGATAGTGGCAAGACTATGATCGGCCCTGGGATTGGTTTGATCGTTTACATACATGGAAAACTTGAACACGCGGCTTGATGGTCCTACTTTCTATACGCCTTCATCGACGGTTATATGTTAGTCGGGTTAGGCTTATGGCCAGCACCTGATGTTATGAACAGTGAGCTATTATACCGTATTTTTCGGCTCGAAGGTTTATATTATAAGAAAGAAAATATAAGTTAAACCACCCTTACTGGGGCCACCCTAGTGGGGGCCACCCATTTCCCATACAAAATCAACAACTTCGCATGTCTATAATTAATTTAAAAAAATAAATAAAAATAGATAATATCTTATGTTTTACTTTGCGATTATTATAATAGCTTATGTATATTTTATTATATTTAAAATCTAATATTTTGATAATAAAATAATAAAGTGTATTTTTAATATTATTTTAAAAATTTTAAAAATTTTAATTTTATATGGAAATTTTATTAAATTACCATAAAACCTTATAAACGCTTATAACTTCTTAGATAAATAAATTATATAATTGGCCTTAAATTTAAAAGTTGTATTAAAACGTCCCTTATTTAACGATATAGATTCTACATTTATACTATATTAATTGGTAAAGTTATAAGCAATAATATCTCTTAACAGCTTTACATATAAATTTGTATGTGTAATTGTTAGTGTATACTCTTGTATTCATTTTACCATAGATATTAGCCCTGCCATTTTTTCAAAATTTTATACCTGGTGAAAATCTAATACCGTACTCAAAATCAAAGACTGTATAATTCTATCTATTTTCTTGAATTAAATACAGATATGCGAAATCGTTGATTTTGTATGGGAAATGGGTGGCCCCCACTAGGGTGGCCCCAGTAAGGGTGGTTTGACTTACTACGAAGTAGAATAGCCAAGTCACTTCTCAATGAATAAGTGAAGCGCCGTCTGAAGTCATGGCTTGTTTCTTGCTGCATGGCTCCATTCTGGTTTGAGCAATTCATATCCATTTTTAGATGCTTCCCGGGGAGATATCCTTGAAGGGTCTCGAGAAGACATCAGCCTAGCTACTTGTATGCAGGGTCTTTTTGATACGATCTTAACAACTCCTAGGTGGTTTTATCACAGCGTTGACTAGGGACATACCTCGCTTAGGATATTTACATATAAGTATGAGAAGATCATCGACATCTCTTCAATATGAACAGTATCTCATCAGATTTTCCTCGTCTCTGTCCTCTTCTTCAAATCTCCCTTCATCTATCTCTCGTTGTCAGCGATTACATTATCTTTATACCGAACCAAATTAAACCATAGTATCTACCTACCTATAACACTTCAACGATATGGATTCGTTCAGGCTGAAAGCACTACTCGCAACTTTTATAGCCAGTAGTGGGTTTGCTCAAGCGCAATGCCCAGCCGTATGGACAGACGTTGCTGCGGATTTGAAGGAAACCTTCTTAGACGGTGGCGGGAAGTGTAATGATAATGCTCGTGCGGCAATTCGACTTGCATTCCATGACTGCTTCCCTGGCGCTTGTGATGGGTCGATCATATTGACCAACGAATGCACAGACCGTGGTGAAAACAGCCAGATGGTTGATATATGTTCGACATTGGGTGATAAGGCAACACAGTTCGGTGTTGGCACTGCAGATCTGATTCAGTTTGCTGCTGGTGAGTTTTAGCCCAATACCTCCGTTTTTGCTTACCCCTGGCTCACATATTTATTCAACCTATAGCTTATGGAATAGCGTCTTGCCCCGGCCTACCTGCGATATCGGTCAAAGTCGGCAGAGTAGATTCATCCGAAGCGAATCCCACGGGCCAGCTGCCCGGTGCCAATGACAACGCTACATCGATAGTGTCCGCGTTCGCGGCGAAAGGCTTCTCGGTTACCGAGTTAGTTGCTTTGGTCGGAGCTCATAGCGCTGCCAAGGATTTGAACGGAAACGCGCTTGACACAACGGTACAGGAGATGGACACCAACTTCTACACTGAGACCGCAGAAGGAAGCGCGCCTTCTAGTTTGAATAGCGACAAATTCCTAAGCAATTCGACAGAAACAAGCGCTGACTGGAATTCTTTTGGTTCTGATGCCGCAGCATGGGCTGCTGCTTTTGTGCCAGCGTAAGTTTGCCCCCTTGTTCCCCTACCTTTCTCTAGGCACATTTAGTATCGACATAGTCACTGATATTTCCCGTGTAGGATGGAAAAGCTAAGCATGCTCGGCAACGACGAGGCTAGCCTAACAGATTGTTCTAGTGTCATCACAGAGGCATTTGCCTAGTCAGTAATCATCCGGTATGTTGGACTGGCTTCGGCATGTTGGTTGTCTTATAGTAGCTACGGAGTATTTGTGAATGGTAACGTGTTTTATAAGGAAGGGATATAGTCATTTATAAAGGATTAGACAAGAGGGGAGTTTTGGGACAAAGAAAATATATTTAAATGTTTAAGAACATAACTAAGTTATCATACTATAACTACACTTAGTTAACTAAGAGTGTGTAAGCGAAGTTTCTAGGTTTGGCCGATTTCAAAACTAAAACGTGCCTAAATTGAATCGTATTTAGAAGATTCAGTGATATTGTGAATAACATATGTTAGCTACCTACCTACTTAACTTTATATGTCAAGAACTACCTACCACGAGACAGCCTCTAAGCAAGGCTATGAAATTAATTACTAGTAACTCTTGAAAACGCGAGGTTTGGGATCAACCTGGGCTATTTGTTCCTAACTACCTCCGGCCGCGGCCTTGGCCTTGTGAACCCCTTGATGAAAGTGTGCCCCTTGATGGGGAATTACCTCTTGTCGAAGATGTGCCCCTTGGTGTGGTACCACCTCTTATCGAAGTGGTATCACCCGCGGTAGGCCTCCCGCTAAGGTCGGCCGAAGCCATCTTTGCGAGGGAAGCTTCTCGCCCCTTTTCGAGAGTCTGGAAAGTGACCTCTTGGTCCTTCTTTAAGGGGCTAATCATAATAAACATGACAACTTTTGTCCGGCGTGAGAGAGTAGGTCTTAATGACCGTACGAGCTCTGTATCATAAACGACAGGCTTTCCAGTCGCTATGCAATGAATGAGCTTAGTCAAGCTCATCAAGGACTTATTAATTATGATCCCTTCCCTACGAAGATTGTTCTCCAATCCCATTGCATTTGGCCTCTCGCTCCCCGCGAGGTCGACGATATTAAGGACGCCAGTCTTGATTTCCCTTGCGTTTCTTCGTGATTTCCTTATAATCTCAAATGAAAGAATCAGATGCGAACGAGAGCTAGTAGCGTTCATATCAGTTGCCGAAACTACCCTGTAACCCATCGCAGTCTCTATCACATCCTCGGCATCTGCACGAGAATACAATTGCCGCTTCCGGACCGAGTTGATTCGGACCTCGGTCTCCCTCTTTCCCGCCTCGACTGCCCCCAAGAGGTCAAAAGTCTTGTCCTGATAAATTTCTTGGATGCTTACCGAAATCGTGTATTCGAATTCATCTGCTTGCATATCCTTAGTCTCAAATATTAAAAACATGGACCTTGGAATCACTCCGTCTTGTCTAAGGTCTTCTTGGCCTGCGTGGTTAAGAGTAAATGTCTTTCCAGCGCCGGTTTGTCCGTAAGCGAGCAGTATGATCTTTTGGCCATCCATTGAAGATTCAACAAGGTCGCTGATATGCTCGAAGACGTCCTCGTTGGTATCCGATGAACTAAAGATACGCTCGAAATCATAGGTTTTCGGGGTGTCATTGATTACGTCTCCCTTAAAGTTCGTTCGTGTAGTGGGTATGGTCATCTTTCCCCAGTACGATGAATACTCCCCCATTTCTTGCGGACCAAAGTCTACAAGGTCTTCTTCCGGGGTGTCCTTTCCTGGGGGTCGAATCCTGCATAAAACCCTAATGTTACCTTGAATATCTCGAAGAGTTTCAACAAGGGCTCGGCTTTTCTTTCTTTCTTCTTGAAGTAGATTTTGGACTCTATTATAATCCTCCGTCTTCTGAAGCAGTTCGGCCTTTATCTCTTTCGTTTTCTCAAGTAATTCGGCCTTCATCTCCTCCGTTTGCTCAAGCAGCTCGGCCTTCATCTTTTCAATTTCTGCTTCGTCTCTAGCTTGATCAGAAATTTCAATGCTGTAGCTAGTGTCATCGAAACTTTTAATACCATAACTAGTTTCAACAGAGCTTTGGGGGTTGTCTTCATAGCGCGTGATAGTCGTATCTTGACGGGGGATTGTTGTATCTTGACTTCCTTCTAAGAGTTGGAATATTATATCCCTAGATTTGTTGAATTCGGCTGGTATATGTTTCCATACTGCTGCCTGGGTTTCGGTAGAAATGACGACTATCTTCTCAAGTGTCTTGATACGTTCTTCAACTCTTGCGAGCTTGTGTTCTAGACTTGAGTGATCCATTGGGACGAAATGTTAAGTTGGAGCGATCGAAATGAATAAAACAATACAGGTTACGTGCTAGCAGGTTGTATTTAAATTTAAATATGATCTAATGATCTGTGAATTGAGTTGTTATACTTTTTGAAAGAGAATTGCCGATCACATCCGATTATTTTATCCTTAGTGCAAATAGAACAATGTTCTATACAAGCTCGATTGTTTCTTGTTTTTTAATAAACAATGCTATTAATTAGGTATATAATTAGTGTTTATCTCTATTTATAGTTTATTATTGGCCCTTGTTTTCTTTCAAAGCAGACTACCTATCCTTTCTACACAAAAGTCCTGTTTCAATATGTATCAAAATGCAAGTGCACAATGTACTATTATTAGTGGACAGTATGATATTATATGAACAATGCATATAACTTAATTAACCAACCAAGCTTCTTTATAAGTAAAGGGGAAGCCTACCTGAGAGGTAGTTTATATACACGCTCTAAATGCCTTGTACGGTACCTGGCAACAGTTTCTAGACTACCCATTTCGGCAATTAAAATATCTGCCGAGGCAAGGGGTAGATTTTAGAACGCATCCTACCACTATTACCACTATTGACTGGTTCCAGTGCGCATGAAGAGGTTGGGTGGCCTTTCTCGTGAGAGGAATTCGCTATCAACTTCGTACTCTATGTCGGGCCCTTCGCCATGAAAGCCTAGACGGGAGTAGACATGCCTTCCCACTAAATACGGGTTAAAAGGTACCTAGTTATGGAATAAGAAAATACTTACTGCTCGATGCTTCGGTAACAGCTTCCAAACCGCCCCGTCGTCTTGCTTCGTCAAGACCCCATTGGGCTAGTTTTAGTGCAATTCCCCTTCGTTGGTAAGCTGGATCGACGGAGCACGAGCGGAGATGCATCACCGCCGGTGGATGCGATGTTGCCTTTTCTTTGATAACCTCGACACGGCGCTTTACAAACGAACGCATAACCTGGAAAAGGTAACGCTGCTCGACTTCATCATCGGGATAAAGTGACTTAATATTTGACAAGATATGTTGGTCATCAGACGGCCGTTCGCCGTGGCCTTCAACTATTGATAACTGATCCCAGACTGCCAGGCCAGCCACAACTGGTCGTCCTTGGTCGGAAACAGTAGCCTTGAGAAAAATAGTATTTGCATTTCCCTGGTTGTCGTATGTGACATTGCGCCATTTCTCAACCAACTTTGCCGCGGCACGGGCTCTACCCTCGGGGTTGTCCCATCCGGGATTCATAGCCATCCAAAGGGTATCGTGAACCTGGTTCCCAAACGCATTGCAGGCACAGTCAAATCCAGCGATGATATCTTCCTCGCGATCGATGATTTCAACTCGAGGTTCTTCCTCTCGCGATTTAGTTGGTGTAGGTTGGTGAGCCATGTCGTGAGAATAGGTACTAGAATAGTGACGATGAGGAAGTGGAGAGAATCTTTACGAATTACTGAAGAAAATTGAGCCATTGAGCCATTGAGCCATTGAGCCATTAAGCCATCATAGTCGGACCTTAAAGATGAGCAAAATTCATTACCTAATAGTAGATTAATGAAGTCTTAAATAACCAAGTTGCCAAGAATATTATAGACTTACTGGCGCTTATTATGTAATTACCTGGATTACTCAGCAAGTATATGCCTCCAGTCGATTAGTCAAAAGCGTATATTCGAGTTGTTGCCTCGCTGATAGGCTACTGATGAAAGTGCGGGTACATTTAAATAATACTAAAGACTGAAGTCTATACTGTTTTTGAACAGGTGAATGTCACTTTAGTACCATCCCCATACTATGCACATTTTCCTTAGCCACCGGTTTCGATTATATTTGGCAGAGGGAACCAGCGCTTCGACGGCAGCATCGGCTTCTTCATCTGCTAATATCTCCGCTAATCCCGTTTTTAGATCAACGGAGTCGGGCGTCCTAATCCAGGGGTCTTTCCTAACCGAGATTCTGTGGCCTAGGTATATCAACAAGAATACTGGAATCCCAATGTACGCTGTAAGAAAGTCTGATACGTTGAATCGACTCGGGAAGAATACCTGAAACCCGTTTAGTAGCCCAAAGACGCCGAATGCCACGGCGGCAATCCACGCTGCCCATGGCTGCAAGACACTTGTATAGGGCAAATCAGAATTAGATATGCCCTGTGCGATACATGCCTTTTTAAAGCGGAAGTAAATGAGGCAGCAACAAACCCAGCTTATGAATGCCGCCGTGTTAATGATACTTACAAACCAATTGAACACAATGCCACTAACAATGCCGACATTTAGGTATGCTAGCAATGATAATAAGCTGGAAGCTATAACCGCATGGACTGGTACCCCGTGCTTGTTGCAATAGCTGAATATCTTAGGTGCGTTTCCAGCTATGGCTAGAGAGTATAATGAGCGGCTAGACATGTATAATATCGAATTCCCGCTCGACCACGCTGATGTGATAATCACGGCATTGATAATACTGTCTAATGCATGAATTCCAGCTTTTTTGATAGCAATAACCCATGGGGATGCGGCTGCCCCTTTTCCACCGTTGGTTAACGCCGACTCGTCACTTCGACATATGGCACCAATAGCAAGCGCACCAAGGGCATAAAACATGATTAAGCGCCAGATGAAAAGAAAGGCGGCCTTTGGAAGGTTTTTTCGAGGAGACTTCATCTCGCCTGCTGTGATGATTATCAACTCGGGACTGAAGTTGAAGCTGAAGCACGAGTAGATAAGGGTGAACAAAAAAGCGCAGAACCGGCCACCGGCACCTCCCACGAGGTACTCGTTAGTAGCGCCAGGGTCCTGCCAGTACCAAAAGCCCAAGCGAGTATGGTTTGGCCCGCCACCGAAGAATAAGACCACTGATAGAATCAAGAGCCCAATGATGGTGAAAACTTTGATCGACGCACACCAGAATTCCACCTCGGCGTAGACTCCGACAGGAAAGAAGTTCAGTGCAACGATTACTACCAGCATTATCGTAATCCATACGGCAACTGGGACAGTAGTTGGCCAATAGCTAATCACAACTGCAGCGGCTGTGATCTCGTACGCGACGCTTATGCCCCAGGTATACCAATACAGCCAACCTAGGGCGAAGCCAAGACTGGGTGACACAATTCGGTTTCCGTAGTACGCTACGGACATGCCCGACACGGGCAGATAGGCACCGACTTCGACAACCGCGGTGACGATGCCGTAGACGAGAAAGCAGATCACCAAGTACGCAGAGAAGAGAAAGGCAGGGCCCGCGATTGCCAATGCCTGCCCCGTCCCGACAAAGAGCCCAGTGCCAATGGTACCACCTATAACAAGCATCTGTGCATGCTGTGATAATGCGAGTTAATTATCGACTTCTCAATCAGCCTGTTTGGGGCACTCTAAGCCCCAAGGCAGACGAGGACGATAGAGACTTACGCGCGATTTGATCGCTCTTTTAGTGCCGTGCAAGGCAACCTCAAGATCATCGTCGGCATTTCTCATCCTCTGCGGAGTATCTGTCAGGGACGAATCGGGTTCCTTTGACTCGTGCTGCTGTACAGCCATGTTTTCCAACTTTTGTTAGCAGCGCTGTTACTGCTGTACGTGGTAGCACCAACAGGGAGTCAAGCCTTAAGAAAGAATCTGTGTTCATTTTCAATTCAAATGTTGGATATCCTTGCTTATTGATGTCTGCTTATTCACGTGGGGTTCGGGTTTCTCCTATCGCTGAGTTGCATTTAAGCACGTCGTGCTTATTGGCTCATGGATTTTTTTTTTAATAATGCAGGAATTAATGATCTGATTGCTGATCTCATAAGTATAATGCAAGCTTAATGAAGGTTTCTATCGTGATATATTGGTGGGAATATGGCACAGGTGGCCGAGAAAACCAGCAAGATTCCAACAAGAATCTTTCTACTACTTGAGAGAACATTTCCATAGTCAATAGGAATTATCGACAAACTTTTAGGTCAGTAACTATATTCTTACTCCCGAGCTCGACTTCTCGAGAAGTATTACAAGTAAGCTGGCGCAAACCCTGGGTATCTATAGTAATTCGCTCCGTCTATAATGCTGCCTGGAACCGGAAAGAAAATGCTTTAGAACATCATATCTCCGAAGGAGGCCTCATGCACACGTCATGGAATAGCGCTTCGCACCGAGCGCTCTTCATAATATTCCCTGTTGTTCCCTTGGTGTGCTCAAAGCTCGAATCGTCACTCCCTTCGCTGTGCCCGTCTCCAACATGAACATCACTGACATATCCCAAATCGGCCTGAGGTTCGTAATGGTTGAATAATTGCGGGTTGACAACAATGCACTTCAGTTTCTCCTTCTTACAATATCCAGACAGCGCGACATCAAACGCTTCGTTGCCGCCCTGCGATAAAAGAGGTACTATTTTCTGCGCGCCCTGCTTCGTCACGCCGAATCCAAAAGTGCAGACAGTCAGGTGGGCTGCCTGGACTTGACGATGGCCCTCAGTCAGCTTGTCCCTTAAAAAGCGCTTTGACCATCCCGAATATAGTGCAGTCTCGCAGCGGGTATCATCAGCGAAAACGCGAGGCAGGGGTAGGTCGTCTGTGATGCTTGAGCCGCAGTGGCCAAGCCAGAGGACATCCCAGTCGGTCCCAAAGGGTGTAGGATCGTCTTCGGCAACACCCATGTAGGCGCGAACATTGTCGGACACGAGTCTCATTTCCGCCTTGATCCGAACATCCCAGTCGACGTCATCTTCCACGATAAACGCAGTCTCGAAGCCTGATGCTATCACATATTTGAGTAGATCAAGATGCGCAAGCCAAGCTTTGGCCGAGCCGGGAGCTGGCAGCTTGGCACCCTTCTTATCTGCGCCGAGGTTCCGGAAAGCTTCGACTAGCTCGTCGGAATTCTGCCCCTGGGGTGGAATTGTAAACTCGAGATCGGTGAGTTTAGCGGCTGCCTCGAGGCCTCGGGTCCTCCAACTCGGTTTATTCGAAAGTGCTACTAGTTTTTGGAACTATGCACGGGTTAACATATTGTCGAAGTAGAACAGTATAACCTAGGTTAGGTAGCTAACTACCTAAAATTAAAAGATCGCTTACCCCTAATGTGGCGTTCGCTGCCGTCTCCCGGGGAGATTGTTCGATGATGCGGAAGTTCGGACCGTTGTGCAACTGCGAATAGACGTCGAACCGGCTTTGCAATAACCATAAACTTAAGATGAGAAGTATAACGGCCAACGCGATAGATCTTCTATTCCGCATGGTAGCTCCATGATTTGTCCAACTGGACTGCATCATATCGCGATGGCGAAGAAAAGACCCGGGGCACAGTTACGGCGCGGTTAGTTAGTAGTAAACAACTAAAAGAGAAAATAGACATTCTAGAAAATATTTGAGGCACAGAATGGAACATAATGGGAAAGGTATGGGGTAAAATGACAATTGAATACTCCAGTTCGGAGATAAAGTCTTACCGTTCCCTCGTCAGCTCTGTAGATCTCGACTGGATTATGTCTGCCAGATGTTGTAAAATAGGCGGGATACGATATACGAAGTAGTCTAACCTAGCCGTTTATTGGGGGCTATCCACCAAAACCTGCATCGCCCAATGTAACCCATTATACCCATTATACCCATTATACCCATTATACCCATTATACCCATGCTGCTTACCGTCATCTCGCGGCTGCAAAGCCCGTTCGTACGCTCGTACAGCCAACATAAAAGGACTCGAAACAGAAACATAGTAACCGGCTAACGTGATGCCGGTTAATACGGTTGACTTTGGAGTAGTCTTTTACCTCACTAGAGCCAATAAAGGTTCTATGCACGTTTACGGAATTAGCCTCATTATCAACTCAGATGAAGCCACTGAGCCTCGAACGATCACGAGCTGCGGCCTGCATAGGTAGGTACCTAATGCATCAATGCGCGCTTAATAGAAACCGGCAACTACCGAAAGTATCCTTTGTTCTAAACACCCAATGTAGAATCTTCACATGGAAGGCAATCATAATTAACTAACCTAAGGGATACCTTTAATAAGGCTATTCTTACTAAAGTTCTTTTAACGGGTAACTATGTTAATATACTACCCTGCTAAGTATTATAGTCAGATTAAATCCTAACCCTAACCCTCGGCGTTTATAACTTTACTAAGACACATAAATTTATATAACTTCCGTATAATTCCAGCCCTCTCAAGTGTTGAATATGATGTCAACTGTAAAAAGATATCGTACAGAACGTCATAAAATATTATAGAACTATACTGAGTGAAAGAATTAATGAGGACCGTGCTACATGATGTGGTCTATTCATTAATTAAATCTTTGCAACCCACTGACGCTTGAAAGATGATTAAGACCTTGCCGGTGCTGGTAAAAAATATCGTACATCTCTCAAACATATAATAATCAGTGAAACCCATTCATGAAATGCTGTAAAGTTTTACTTGTATATAGAGGCTCTAAGCAGCGTCGTACATCAATAATATCTTCCACTAAGACCTAGTCCCCAAGAAAAGCATAGGAATCTTTGACGGCAGCCTGCAACTCTGTGTCCATATGTAAAAGATCGTTGCTCAATAGAATATCATGTGGGGCGAAATTCGACTCGTGGAATCTAATCCGGTTTCCCCCTACGTTTGTCATTTCATCTGAAAAACTGTGTATCGCATCATGAAATGCTTCGTGCGTCCCAGCTTGTATGAACAGAGGCGTTTTAGTTTTGAAAGGGTGTTGTAATGGAGAGATCAACGCTTGTGCTTCCGGGGTCAGATCACCCTTCGGTATATATGCATTCGCCCCCCAATCCAGTAGGGGCGCATATAGGAGATCAACGTCTGAATTCCGCGAGTTCTTGTAGTCCTGGCCGGCATGAGATGTCACGTGAACCCATGGAGACCACACTATAGCGCCACCTGTTTCGTATCCGTGGGTTAGTACTTTGTTTTGTTAGACGTCCATAGGGGATATATAGTATATAACGTATCACTATAGGTAATTGCATCAAATTAGTCACAACATCTGTCACGTACCTGGCGAAGGAAGCTTCCCCGGAGACGTCTCTAAGTATCGTAGTAAAGCAATGGCAATATTGCCGCCCGCCGAATCCCCACAGAGGATGATATCCTTGGGGGCAACTCCTAGGTTGAGGGTGTAGTTATATGCTGTTAGTGCGTCTTGAAGAGGACCAGGGAAGTGTGTTCCAGGAGCGGCTAGGCGGTATTGCACATAAAGGAGTTTGGCTGTTTTGAAGTATGTTGTGAGGCAACCGGACAAAGCTCTGGCCGTCGCATTTGGATCCCAACCGAGTACAAAGGCGCCGCCGGCGAAATGGATGATGACCTTTTGGCCATCTCCCTGGCCTTGCCGAACTGGACTTGGGTGCCAAATTGCTCCGACGGGAGCTGGTTTGATATCTGGAGAAGTCAGAGCCCCAGAAAAGAATGTCGAATCGGGCGGTGGGATTAATGCGAATCTTTCTCCCGACTTTCCTGCTTCTAGCTGCCTTGGATATTGATAACGTGTTGTTGTCATATAGCGGACAGCAGCACGGAGAACTGCCCCCCCAAAACACACACTGAAATTCCATTCAGGTACGGGGCGGAGAGACTTGAACAGATAGCAGGCTAAGAGCAATGGTAAGGATAGAGTAGCCTTTAATGAAAATAACAGAATATATATTGCTTTAAAAGGTTGGGTAGCCCACAGGGGAGCCATGATAAATATGAGGTTTAACGGCGGCTGGAGGAATAAGTGATAAAGTTGTTTGTGCTATGTATGATTGCTTGGGAAGCTACCTTCTAAGGTAGGTAGATAGTTAATGTCAAGAGATCAAAGACAGTAGTTCGCAACAAAAGCCGGGGATAAACGTACCTTGCACCTTTTCAAAGATTACAAAATATAAAACATCGAAGAGCTGTAGATGTTGGAGGGGCTATTGTCGGGTTCCCCGGAAGATACATCCATATGAGGTACCTACCTTCTCCTAAGAGCATTGGTGCCCAGGCTATGTAGGTGTTCAGAATTAATAGTGGCTGGTATAATTTAACCAAAATCCGTCCTTGTACCCCTACCCCGCTCGTCCCTTGCATATCATGATACCTCTATATCGTGACTAACCAGAATCCTCCTTGAAGGTTATTGGTTCAAGGGCAACTTCTGAACCGTCATTATTACCTTCTGCCCAGGTTCTTGAAGTTACATTATGCTGAGCCCCCTTTATCCTAGCCCAAGGGCGTTCCATACCAGGAACTTTTGATGTTCTACTAAAGCTGCTGGTGTTTGAGAGCCGCAGTTTCAATAACTCACGCAAACCCTGGATGGATCGAAGTTGCTTGAGAATGGGAAGAAGAGGGCCAAACGTAGGTAGGCAACTGCAGACAATTGCTAGGCCTAACTGTATTGTGGACCAGAGCCCTATGGAACCAAAATCCCCTGGGAAATCATGAGCATATAACAGGCAGCTGAGCTGAAGGGAGACTTACAGCCTCTTAGAATGTCGGACGGGTTCCAGATTGCTGTCAATCGGATAATACTTGCAATGCACACACTGCGTAGGCATCTTGGTGAGAATAGTCGATTGAAATTATTGAGTTACTACTTACAGTGCACCTAACAGAAGAATGCTGAGGACTGATATCTTCTTTGAGGTCGGGAGATTCAACCGTGATATAGTGACAATTGGTATGCATAGGACTGTAGCATCAAGGAACAGATTTGTTAGTTCGTATCCGAGAAGAACACGCGGAGTATCAAGACACCAAGGCGCTTGGTTAAGCTTTTCCCAAAATGCTTCGACTGGTTGGCATTGGAAAGCCAGAACAAACGTAGCGACGAGGAACCAGAGAGTACAGGCCGCGGCTGTTACTTGGATCAAGATTCGGAGGCGATTATTAACAGCAAATAAGTCATAATAAAACCAGAGGATGCTGAGTTTCACTGAGGAGATAACGAAAGTGAATAGGAGCTCAGTCGCATATGAGTACTACCCAATGGTTAGGTACCCGTTAGAACAACGACGCGGGTAAAGGGGTCGGCGTACCTTCAAGAGATTCACCATCTCAGTCAGCTGCTCGGGCAACGATATTTTGAAATAGATGTCGTAAGCGTGGAAAAGAGAAACATTGAAGATAACTTGGGTAGTTTAGCATATAAGCAACAGCTCAATCAACGTCTGGTCCTGTAGGACTCGACAATAAACAAACGTCAATACCTACAATTGATAACCAAAGAACAGTATGCAATTAAAAATGCCAGTGACGCAAGACACAGCCAGTCGGCACCATGCAGTCTTTGTTGATGAACGAATTTAATCAAGAATCTCATAAGAACTGCTATTGTGGCCAACGACAACATAACAACGCAAGCGATAAAATTCTTGCGCGCATTTGCTGTGAGGACAGCCATTATCACGAACGAAAACTGACGACGTGATCAGATCTCCTCTCCAGAATTCCAGAATTTCAGAATTTGAATGTTAGTTGTTAGCTACCAAGGAAAGGTATTTCAATCCGCCGGGTGTCGAGATGGTGTGCCCCAGGTATCATCAAGATCCGGGCACAGCATGTTAATCTTACCACGAGTAGCCATATTAGACCAAATTTTGATGCATGTTCGTCAAGGATGAGTTGAAGGATGACCAACAGACGTCGATCTGCAGCCCCCAATGTTACCGTTATACGTTGAAATACCTATGATTGGATAAAATATATGTCAGAAGGATTTATATTGATCTTACAATACCTTCATTATAGGCACATATGAGCAAACTAAGTATATTTTATGCGATTATGTGACATAATACGAAAAGGTTAAGACAATCAAAGTTTCAATACCTAGGAGCCATATGTATAACTATTTTGAATAGGCCCAAAGCGTGTGAACAGATCACAAAATGTGATGTATTGTCTATACCACCTTCCTTATATAGCGAACCTAGAGGCTAATGAACTGTTTAACACTTCTTAAACACTGGTAATTACCTACCTATATTATATTACTTAGTGATAATCTCCAGTAAGTTGGAGTGGTCTATCCAGTCGCGCCATCTCCATGGTATATAGAAGAAAAATGAAGTGCAATCGATATATGTCGCATATGTTAGTAAATTCTCGTTGGATGAGGCAGTGTGGTGGATTCTGTAACGAGGAATTGACGCTCTGCATCCATATCAAGTTCATTTAATCGAATTCAGAACCCCAGTCAATCAACTTGATACCTTTCCCCCTGCCCTCCATGATGCATTCAAGCTTATCCTCATTTGTAACCCAACCTTGACGCTTAGTCCCAATGGCAAATCTGATAGGGTCGCGCCACTACAACAGTGATAGTCAGCAATTCATTCTTCAACCAATGAGTCTGCAAATCTTCGAATCTTTTGGAAGTAAAAAAGACCAAAAGGAAATGCTAGGCGTTACGTACCTCTTCCCACCACGTCTTCTCACTCTGCACAACACACTTTCGACCCTGCTCGCCATTCTTGCTCGTTGCGAAAGGCCACACGGCCTTGACGACCTCGTATTTACTCTTGCTCGAGAATAACGAGGTAACGCTCGTTAAGAATCTATTGTGCTTGTCTGGGTTCTGGACGATGACTTTGGCGTGTGTGATGAGGAACTGTACTGTGACTTGGCCTTTATAGTCCGTGGAGGCAACAAGGCTCCGCACCTGGCCTTCTAACCAATTTGCATCGAAGTTTGCTACAACCCGCTCGACCGTGAAGCTCTTTATGGTAGTCGAATCCTTGACGAACCGGTCACACCACGCCTCCAGCCCGTTATTTGCACCAAAGTCGGGCTTCAGCCCGGGATCGCTACCGCCACGAAGGGCCACCTCATCTTTACTAACGCATCGGAGATAGTCAAGACGGTCCTTGGGATCATTAGGAACGAGCAAGTTCATCAGATTCAGCTTGATACTGAAGTCGACTTTGCGACCACGGTTCCCTTGTATGATGATTTGAGGCTTTGGAGGCACGGTGGCAAGGCTTCGCACAAGCGTAGCTAAGGCCCCGGCATTTTCAGAGAGATAATTGGCTTTGCTGGTGATACTTACGCTATCTGGTGACAGCTCAAACAAGGGCGGCAAATATTGGCGATAATCTAATATGGGAAGGCCAGGGTAATATTGCGGGCCTTTCGGTAATTGTGAGCGGGCTTGAGTATCTAGAGAGATATCCGAAGGACCTGAGTAAGGCGGCGGCTGGTGCGACGCGTTTGCCGTATCATCTCCGGCCGATAGCTCCGCTGGGATATCGGTAGAAAGCTCTCCTGCCGGTAGGGAACCCCGACTAGCACCGGAGGGGTCTGACGGGCGGTGGACTGGACCGGCTGATCGTCCGGTCTTGTCGGCGAACATAGACTTGCGACGATCCATTCCTGTAATGCTACCAATTTATGTAGAAGATATTCGTGTTTGCATTTAACGGTATTGCCAAGCCCTGGAAGATCAGGGGTTCAGGGTATGAATTAGGTACTTGGAGGATTCCGTAGTATCAAAGTAAAATAGCCAGGAACATGATCTAAATGAGATAGGTGGGTTGCTTAACTACTAGGTTGGGTTACTCTGGTCTCCCTTGATTTAGGGGAATAGAAAAAGAGAAACTCGACAGAATTTGAGCAATTGCGAAGATGTTTGGCAGAGTCAAAGCTGAAAGACGATCGCTATTAGGATTGTGGCGAAGTAGAAATGACGATGCGGAGCAAAAAGCAAAGATTCGATGCTGGTCTTACATATTAGGTACAAGATACCTATCTTAGGAGGTAGGTTAGGTTACATGTAGGTACCTAGGTTAGGTACTTATACGTGCTTAGACGTTAGCGGCAGTATTGAATTAACTGCTGCCTACGAATAGCGCCCGTGGCGGTGTTTACGCCCAGCCCTGCGCCTGATATGTACCCAAGGTAGGTACCTAACCTTAGGTAAGGCACCTAGGTTAGGTATGTAATAGAGAATAGAGCCACACTACCTAACATTTATACCTCCTATCCTATCCAAATAGAGGCACAGCCCTAGAAACTACATATCTATATGCAGCTCTATACTCTTGGCATTCTTAGCATAATCCTGATCCCCACAACAGAAGCCACCCTTCATAAGTTCATAGGTTGAAAATAAATGACTTGACTTCTTTCTCCATGTATTCAACCCAATATTTCGCGCCATAGAGCTCCTCTTTGAGATGCTGAGTTTCCGTACCGATAAGCAACGCCTCATATTTCAGCTCCATATGTGCATACTTCGAAGCCTTCTCAATCTCCTCGCTCTCAAACGCGTATCTCGAACATTCGCGAAGCCTATATCATCATCGTCACTCTAAGTATTATAAAACAGAACATCTAAGACTTAAATTCCAAAGACTACCTAGGTTAGGTAGGTTAGGTACTTACGTTCTACAGAGCTCCATACCACATAACCGTTGTTTCTTGAGAAGTTCTACAAGCTCCTCTGCGGCGTTGAGGGCTTGCTTGGGTGTCTCGAGCTTGGGAATGCCCTCGAGATGTGCTTCTTCAGACTTGCCGCACTCGTATGCTGCTAGGGCTTGATCGAGGACTACCATGCGATACCGTAACTGGTCAAGTGTATCGTCTGTACAGGCCGCGCAGTTACAAGTGATACCCCATGCGGTATACAATGAGAAGCCGCGTTGGTTGCGAGTTCGACATGTCTTGCCAATGTAATCTACGAATATCTGTTCGCCGGCTTTGATGTCGTGGATCGCATGTATAGTCAACCGCTCCAAAGTTGGGTTCCAAGAGTTGTAGGCGTTAGGGACGCAGGAATGGTTGATCCGGGTATATAGGGGGAAAACACCCGAGCCGTACTTTCCACCAGGTCCTAGCTGAACATTGTTGACGAGGTAGATGATGCAGAGATTGATTGTTTTGTTAACCATTTTCCGCAGTTTCCTCCCCTTGAGCAATCTTCCGTCGTTATTTTTCAGCTTCTTACTCTTGTAGAAGCACCATGCTCGGTTATCGACATAACCTCCTTCTCTAATAGCATCTACCACTTTAGGGCTGCAAGGTAACTTTTCTAGCTCCTTGGATTCGGTATTAGTTATTCCGTCGGCGGCCTTGCACAACTCCCATAGCTCTTCACCGGTAGATTTGATAGGTGGTACTATGATCAGTGGAGTCTCGGCAGCAATACGCGTTCCACGGGAGATGTTAACTTTCGCGAATATTGCTTCGCCGATGGAAGCTAGCTGGCGAATTTCGACCATTCCCCACGGGGCGACGTCTTTACGGCTTTAGCGATTTCCCTAGGAAGGCCTTAGCTTATGTATAATTCTCACCTTCTGAAATTGTCTTGTTCGTATCCATGGCTGCGTGGTTTGGATATGCTGTTAGTTCACTAAGTTTATGTGATATAGTTTCAGGAACTAGATGTAAAGTTTTCCGGTATGATAGTAGATGACAGTAGATAGTGGTGGATTATTATGATTAGTATATATACGGGGCGGTATGATATATTGTTCTTTGGTGCTGGGTTGCCTAGGACCATTGCTATATGGTCTTTAATACATTTGGTGCCTTAGTGTCTTATCTAACTGGAAGCAACCTGCCTGAGCGGCTTTAGGCCTTTGATCAATGCTTTCTGACACCATATATTCAGGTTGTTTATCATTTTTAACACATATATTGCAATGATTATGTTCTACTCGCGTTGAGTTTCTCTTTCTTGTAAGTTCTAAGAAATACTTCTTCTCCGAGTAGCAATCAAGATTGATATAGCCCAAGGTTTTATATGCTACGGTATGATGCCTGATATTCTTTCTAAGTGAAGTTCCAAAATAGTATAACATATGCATGTTTCTGATGAGACTATCTATATGTCGTCTGGATACTCAACTCTTAACTTCTCTCAGCCCAGATCAATATCTTCAATTAGTATATACTTATAATTAATCATGCTAGCTATCCTTTATCACGACTAATACGTATACTCCATTAATGTTGTCCGGTTTCTCTTACGGAGCCAGCTTTATGCTCTTGCATGACCAAGCGGATAATATAGCCGAAACCCGATGGGAGGAAACGATCGACCACGAACGGGCCAATGATAGACTAGAAGAGTATTCGAAAAGGGAAACACTCCACTCCTCCGTTCGGCGGTTTTCAGTACGTTTTTCATCTACCCAAACCTTTCCATCCTCGTCGAGAAGTCCTTTCGAGATAAGATCGACCGCCGTCTGCTTTACTCCAAGGCGGGATGTGTAATTTAGGCAAATTGCGTCCCCCTAAGACTAGAGGATGTCTATGTCATCGGCGCTTGAATATAAAGTGCCAACCCGCAATTAGCTTGTACTTGAGCCATAGAACGTGTATTGGATTCATATAGAACTCGGCCTGTCTTGCATAGAATAATGCCTAACAACCGGTATCTGGGTACTACTACCGGACGCAGTTATATTTAATCTCTAGTTGCCCCCCCTAAGCTCTCCTAACCCTTCTTCTTCCCCCGAGGAACCTGAGAGTCGACTCACCTTCAATCTATCAAAGAGTTTTCGAAATGAAGTCCGCCGTTGCCGCTCTCGCCCTCTCTACGCTCGCAGCTACTGCTGCTGGGCACGCCACCTTCCAAGAGCTATGGGTTGCTGGAAAGGATGAACAGTCTACTTGCGCTAGACTTCCCGTACGTTACCCATAACATTCTAATAAGAATGCACGACATACAATGTTGATCGATCATTAACACTTGAAAAGGCAAACAATAATCCTGTCACTAGTGTGACCTCCAACGATATCCGCTGTAACGTTGGAGGCACTAAAGCTGCTGCCGCCAAGTGCACCGTAGCTGGTAAGAATATATTCTGACCATGTGGTTTTCATATCCTAACAGTATTTTAGCCGGTGACACCGTGACGGTAGAGATGCACCAGCAGCCCGGTGACCGTGACTGCTCCAGGGAAGCTCTTGGCGGAAACCACTTCGGCCCCGTCATAGCATACCTGAGCAAGGTGTCGGATGCTGCTTCGGCCGACGGATCCTCGTCTTGGTTCAAGATCTTCGAGGTCGGCTACGACCCTGCCACCAAGACCTGGGGTAACGACATCCTCAACAAGGGCTGCGGCAAGCAAGACGTCAAGATCCCGTCTGACATCGCCCCTGGCGACTACCTCCTCCGTGCCGAAACCATAGCGCTTCACACCGCAAGTCAGGCCGGCGGCGCGCAGTTCTACATGACCTGCTACGTAAGTGATAACTCTTGAGATGCTTAACAGAAATCATATGCGGAAGTAAAATGACGTGCGCTAACATGAGTGAATAGCAAATTACGGTCACTGGTGGAGGCTCTGCTAACCCACCTGGAGTGAAGTTCCCTGGTGCGTACAGCGCCAACGACCCTGGCATCAAGGTCGATATCTGGGGCAACGGCTTCACCGAGTACAAGATTCCCGGCCCGGCTGTGTACAAGGGTTAGGTTTCAACACCAAAGGCAAAGAGGTGCTGTTTCAATAAGACACAGGCATGATCATGGTGTCGTAGCGAGCATTTAGTTGCATTGTTAATTACCTATGTAAAGATGTTTTTGAAGCATTAGATCGTGGAACAATATATACTTCGTTGCCTTAAGAGATACTCAGTACGATATACTCTGGCATGAATCTAGCGCAAGTGAAATTATTCCTTAGTAGGTTAAACGTAAATATTCGCCATTAACTACCAGTGAAACAAGTATCTTTACTCCATCAGAGAATATTTACGAAATACACCATTATTATTCTAGGATTAAATGATATCCCACCGGGCACTTTGTTAAGAACCATCTATCTTCGGTTGCAATCCGGCGGTTCCTTTTTATCAATGGTAAAACCGAGGCCTCCCATCGGCAACACTCTAATCCAAGGACATAGGTAGATTTTATATCATTTAAAGAATCGCAATCGTGTATTCTTGGCGGGGTAAATAAAGAACGATACATGTATGATATACCATTTCTCCACTTAGCTAATTCCCAGCTGGTCGGGACGCTATTAGCGTGCTATACCAAATCCATTATAGGTACTTGTACTGTCGAACTTAGAGTTGACTCACGCCGAAGAATTATTGGCCATCCACAAATCATGCAATGCCTAAGAAATAATTGGATTTCAGCTATTACTCATAATGGGGAAATGGGGAAATGGCGAAGGAAAGTGGCACAGCTGTACCATACATGGATCCATACCTGTAATACAGCTATCCCACCATAAAACCTCATCACTTCACCCAATACTGTACACCTATCTTCTTGAACATTGAGGCCGATATAGTTTTCATTCCTTGAATATATAATCCTAACCTATTCCATTTCATTCATTTTGGAAATCATTATCCTTCTTTTTCCCCGCTTAGAGTATCGATTATTTGGAACAGTTAGACCAAACAACCGTGTTTATCCCCGATTCCATTCTACGATCCGTTGGCATCCCGATAAATATTACTTTATTATTTCTATTAACTTCAGTACCTCATAGCCAGAAAAGGTTAGAGCTATGGCTGCTCCAACGACTTCAACAGGCGTGTCAGCCGATGTGGGCAGCAGTTATGACACAGCGCTGTGTATAATTCCGCCGAAGCATTTATGGCCAGAGCTAGACCATCTGAGGATGATCCACGACCCAGCATACAGGAAATGGCCACCGCATATCAATCTTGTATACCCATTTTTTCCGGTAAATAACCTGCGTGACGCTTCGGGATTAATCATCTCCCTGCTCGTACAGCGGTACCTAGATCACCCTTCTCCTCCAGACATACAGTTGGATGGTACAGGTACCTTCACCAAGGACGCCAAGGACACCAAAGAGAGGAAGACAACGTACTTCTTATGCGGAAAATCACCATTGCTCTTTACAACTCTACGGAGTCTTCTACCATCATCACTAGAGCGAAATCATAACAACGATGATCAATTGCGTATGATCCTTGGACAAACGGACGATTTGACACACCCGCTACATAAATTCGCAGTACAAATACTTAACTCTTTTCCTACCCTTCAGTGGAGAGTTGAAAAGATTTATATCCTTGTACGAGACAAGGACGAGACCCGGATCGACCCCAGCGTCCCTAGTCAAATGAAGATATGGGGAGAAATCGATCTGCAAACTTATACCTTATTAACAATGCAAAATCCTATTGGCTTCTACGAAGACGAGAAGACAACTAGTCCCGAAAGTAATGAACAAAGTACTCGACTAGAATGCCGTCCGCTAACGCGTCTCCCATATATATTTTCTCATGCGGAATTTAAATGGATTCAGCAACAGAAATACCCTGCTGCTGAGAAGGCATCCCCAAATCCGGAATCTTTAGTGGTCGCAAATTATAACGTCCACGCGGAATTCCAATATCCCCCAACTCGAGCTCGATACCCTATCATAATCCAGAATCTACTAGATGCGCGAGCTCTAGCGGATGTTCTAGTACTAGAAGAAATCACAGATGACTTTCTTTCATATCTTTGTAAAGATAAGAGGGTTCGGGAGACTTACCCCTTTATTTCTAACGGCCCCCCTGATCAATCCGATATTGGACCACTTCCGAGCCGTATTAATATTGTGGTGTTGAGCAAGTGGCCTTTCTCTTGGGATTTACTGTCGCTTTCCGCAAGCTGTAAAGGCTCGGTAATCATGCAATTTACTAATATTGGGAAACACGAGGGGGGAGTTTTCATACCGGCCATTCTATCTGCCGTTCATCTTAGTTCAGGCCTTACAGATGCTTCCGTACAGAGAAAGGGGCAGGAATTATGGTCTCTCTTCCATTATCTTGCCAGGGAATACCCTCGAAATCCTTGGATATTAGCTGGTGACTTCAACATTCCGACCAGTGTATATACCATCGAAACGGCAGTCAAGAGGAACGAAATTTCTTCGGGTAGCAGAAACATCTTTACTACAATTGAAAAACTATTCATTAAGATGGGATTGGTAGATGCCTGGGCTTCTGCGTGCGTTCAATATGGTGATTTACCGGAGCAGGATCTAAGGCAACCGGATTTCAAGAAAGCTTTAGGGGGTGAAAAGGCGGCAACTTTTGATCCAATAGCCAACCACCTTGCCGAAAGTACGGCTCGCAGCGATTTCGATAAGAGGCCCCAACGCTACGACAGGATTCTAGTAAAGAGGGAAGACTTTACTGTGACAGGATTCAACATGTTTGGCCAGAGAATGGGAGCATCACAGACTGACTTTTGTGTTGACTCTAAGGATGATGGCTCAAACGTCCAGCTTTCATATGGTAGTGACCACTGGGGGATCAAATGTTCGCTAAAGATTTCCAAAGACGGACCAGTACGGTCAACCGACAGTAGCAACACCGCCTTCACTCCTCTAAAAACCAAGCAAGAGCAGATGGCTGCCTCTCAGCTTGCCGCCTATCTTTCTGAGCAATCCGTGTTCCCTTCTGATGTTGACATTGCGATGAGAGAAAGCGCGTTGTGCTTACTGAAAGAAGTCATGATGCAAGATGAGGATAACCTTGCCCGTGGGCTTCCAGCATTTATGCTAGTACCCGTCGGGTCTTATGGACTGGGTGTCTGGACTGCGGCGTCAGATATAAATTGCCTTTGCATCGGACGTATCAGCTCAAAAACTTTCCTCGCATTAGCCATTCAGCGACTTCGTAAAGCTGCGTGGAGGGGTATTAAGATCTTACGACGAGTAGATGCCCACTCCGGCACAAGTCTCGGGCTAGCAATAGGTCATATCAAAATAGACTTACAATATTGTTCAGCAGTTTCTATCGCCGAGACGTGGCCGGCCGCGCTGGCGCTACCACCAACCGATCCCGTTTTCAAGTTACCACAAAGTGCTCTAGCGACATTAAAGCCAGTGCGTGATCTGCATCATCTCCTTGGGACGATTCCAGACCTTGCGGCTTTCAGGCTATCATACCACGTAATAAAATGTTGGGCAAAGCGGCGTGGTATTTATGCTGCGCAATTTGGCTATCTTAGTGGTATCCAGATATCGATACTACTGTCGCGGGTGTGTAAGCTACTGGCAGACACACGTGGCCCTGTATCAGGTATCCAAATGATATTAAGGAACTTCTATCACCACTACGCGGGATTTGATTGGGATGACTCGGTCGTTTTCGACCCCTTCTTCCATAAAGAATTGAGTTATGTGAGAACTGAACGAGAGCCTATGGTCATCCTAGGCTTTCATGGGCCTCGTCTGAACACGGCGCAAACTATGTTAGTTTCTACAGCTCATACCATTATTAAGGAGTTGAAAAGAGCAGACTCAATATTGTCAGGAACCGAGATGGTATGGACCGAGCTCCTCAATGAGAATACAGGTATAACGGAATTTCTAAGGATATATATGACATATATTAAGGTTACTGCTCGATTCTGGGGCGTGTCTCTGGCAAGGATAAATACGACCTTGGAATGGCTAGAATCCAAATGTGCCTTACTTTTAGTCGGTCTGTCTACTCCCTTCTCCCCCGGAACACAACATAGTACTAATGCGAGTATAGAGATCGGCAAGGCAGTACCTGACATATATCCCAGAATCTGGCCATCACGCTTCGTAAACCAAGAGGCTTCAGAAGAAGATGAGGAATATGAAGGGCATTATCTTATCGGCTTGGAATTAAAAGATCCTACTGGTCTGCCGACCGATATAACAAGAATACGCTCCATGCAGGCCAGTTTAGATGCCTGCATACGTATCTTCGAAGCTCAGGCAAGCAGGGACGCGAAATACTTTGACCCTAAGTCATCCTGGATAAGCGCTACAATAACTCTGCAGCGTGAACTTGGAGAGCTACGATTGGACAATCGGGACTGGGGAAAATATGTGGTGGAAGCTGAGGACGAGGATATAGGTGATTCGGAATTCTGGGCATCTATGGAAGCGGACGAGGCTAGAGAATCACCTACGAAGAAAGAGACCCGTTTATCGCAGAAGCCAACGTACGAAGGGAAACTTCGATCTGCAGGTGACGTTCTAAACAGGCTTCGGTGGGACCAAGCCATAGACAGTAGCGACTACATAATCGGCTACGAAGATCGCTTCTCGGGGGCAATGGAGCGGTCAGTTGACTCGTGGAAGTCGGATACGACGCACGAGGAATTCATACCGGAACACAGGATCCTATATTTCAAGCGTAAGAGCGACGGTACGATGGTGTGGGATAGGGAGGAGAGACGAGATGAGATATTCGGTAGCGGGGTCTCCAGTGTTGGGCGCTAGGGTAAGACATATGTAATTGTACGTGTTGTTTACATGGTATTGGTTGTTTTTGGGCTGTTTTTACTTGTTTTACTCAGCGTCAGATGCAAATACATTACATAGATACCCCCTCGGCGGCTTCCAACTTGGACGGTCGTTATGTTAGCGTGCCTTGACAGCTCAGAGAGATGTAATCCTCGGCGCGTAGAAGACAGCTTACTGGTGTGATGGGCATAGTCGTATGTAAGCTCCCAGCCGTGCCAACAGAATGGTAACCAATCCTTCCGAGTCAGGTGATGGAAATCTCATGCGCGTTGGGGGGCGTTGATGAGGTTTGAATGCGACGGCTTCGCGTGCTACTTGGCATATTTGAACCTATCATCGGCAGTCTGTGTATGTTACCCCTTGTCGTCGTAGTTTGTTATTCGCGACTTTCCCCGATCGAGTAGTAATTTCTGAGCGAGCTGCAACCAACCCCCCCTTTACCTAGACCCCGGTCTGTTTTGTTCTTGGTACATATCGTTTCCTCGTTGCAAAACAATCCTACTTTTTGACATGTCGATTTTTTAAAGGGGGGCGGGCAGGGATGGCGGAGGAGATTCTCCAGTTGGGACCTATGTAACGATGTGGTGTTAGTGTGGTGTGGTGGTGACGGGTTACCGGTTTGTTGGGTATTTCCCCGCAGCTTTCTCCTCACCATTGGTAGTTTGGTACCTTGGTAACTGCGTTTATATCTTGCTCTTGAGATTCGAAGCAGGCCCCCGTTTGGGGAATTCATTTATTCCATATTGAAACGTTGGCCCTTTTTAGTAAAAGAAATATATGCTAGTAAGGAGGAGTACTTAGCCTCAATATTACGTACGGCTGAAATACATATGTATAGGGGTATCTCAGGAAACCCTGTTAAAGATGCAAGATCTAAGATTAGCTACCGGGTTTTATGGGGCTGTATTGCCCGTTTTGTTAACGCCAATAAGCTATGTATAAGTACTCTTTCGGGTTGCTATATATTGCTATGTACAATAGCTCGAGCTTAAAGGTTCTAGGTTAACTGGTTAACTAGGTTAGGTAGTTAATAAAATTAGAACATTAGGTACATAGCTCAACAGGTACCTACATACCTACAGTACGCCCCTTGAAATAATGTTATTTAGCGGACCCTTAGAGCTACTTCGATGCTGAGATCCTGAACCGTATGATTATTACCGCCCTATGAAATTATCATAGTTCTTCGAAAACGTTATTTCAAAGTATTTTATACTAGTTATAAGACCCTGGTATAATAGTTAAGTTGTTTTAAAGGGCGTTATTTTATTTAAAATTAAAGCCCTGTTCTGTATTGTACATACACACAGCTGAAATTTGGGCATACGCGCATAGCATGTAGGGATATCCCTTTCACCTCTTACACGCCGAGACTCTTACACGCCTTCCTGGTCGTTTGGTTTTTCTCAACTGTCTACGAAGTATAGTACCTATCGTATTACCTACCTAGGTCCATATCTATCCCATTCCTAATTTCCGTAGTTACCTAGGCAGAACCCCTAATGCTTCTTTTTTACTTTTAAACCCACCCGCTGCCCCTTATTACCTAACTCGTTCTTTTAACTCTCAATTCTGCATTGTTCCTTGAATTGAGACAGCAACAACAATGGCCTGGAAATGTCGGGACTGTAATCGAAGCTTCTCTCAGTGGAACGCACGGGAGCAACACCTCAACGCATTGGACCACCGCCCTCTTGACTTCGAGTGTCACTGCTGCTACAATGTCTCAAGCAGTGAGGAAACCCGTGGGGATCACGAAGTCGAGGACCATTTCTACTGCCATGACTGCGACAGGGAGTTCCAAACCCACAATAACATCAAGATGGTAAGATGAGACATTTGCTCTGTAGCTAACTAGTGACTTAAGGGTACCAGCAAAACTGACCTCGGTTCTAGCATCTTAATTCCCGTACCCACCGAAAGGGCAGGATCGCATGTCCTTTCTGCAAAACCAACTACGCTACCGCGACGGGCCTCGCGCACCACCTTGAAGGCGGTCACTGCCCCCAAGCTTCATTCCTGAACCGCGATGAGATATTCCGCGCAGTGAGGGCTAAGGACCCCACCGGAATCCTCTCGAAGAAGCTCATCGGCTGGCATGGTTCCTCTACATACGAGGCCTCGGACCAGACGTGGAACGGCCATGCCTTCGAGTGTTACTTCTGCCACCGCGATTTCGTGACACTCCACGCCTTGAACCAGCATTTGAATTCGTCTGCTCGTAAGTGATATAGCCCTAAGTCCTGCTTCGTGTAGCTGCTAGATTAGTATAACTGATATGTCGGCCCGAGTAAAGACCAACAGTCATTGTACCATTGCCCAAACCGTAATGCTTGCGGCCGTGACTTCAAATCTCTAGCCGCCGTCAGTAAGTGGTATTTCTAGCTTTCCCCTGGTCCCCAATCAGCTTATATCACCACACATGCTATCCCCCGAAGCCTATCTATTTGTGCATGTGTTCTCGCGAGAGGGCCTCGCCACTGTACCTACCTATCTATCTATGAGATATCCTCAAGTGGCCCCCCCTGACTTGTACAGTGAACCACCTTGAGAGCGAAAGTTGCGCCTTTACACGTTTCGAGAACGTACAGAGAGCCGCCATCAACCTTATCAGCGGGGACCGACGCCTCACATTTGGCTAAACGCCATGCCATGATGTTGATGGTAGTTTCGCCATACGATGTTTTACTATAATGGCTTCTCGTCGTAGACTCGACCCAGGTTTTGCACAACTTTGCAGCCCTGTATGCCATGCCATCGTATGTCTGGGTTATAGGGTATGATTACATGTCGAAACGAAGTCGGCAGATAAACTCGCCAGATTTTGACATCTTGGGATCCGGAGACGAGTCCGCAACCAATTATCTGCACAAATAAACGCTCCACTTGGCTTGGCACGGCTCTTCCTCAAGCACCGAAGTAACACGGGAGAAATATTGTCTCGGGGAGACCGGCCAGAAACTGGAGCTGTCATGTATTATGTGATGCAAGGTATAGTAGTTAATAAGAGCACTTGAGTACCTAACTTAGCACGCCACATTGTGTTTACAATCTTCCTACCTATAGTTTTGGGTCTGCATCATGATAATCGATACAACTGACGTAGGACTCGACTTCAGGAGAACCAACTTTATTCGTTCCAGGCTCCAATCATTTCCTCACGACATCGACTGTTATCTCTCCAGCTGTGCAATTCACATACAGGCAGCTGGACTAAGCGGGGTAACCCTTCGGATATGCGCAGTGGCATACAACACGTACAGTAAATTCCAAAAAGACGGATACTAACATCACATACACAGACCGGTCAAGGTCGGTTAACGGGTAATTATAAAGTATATATGTCATTTATGATATATATCCCGAAATTTTATACTGTTTGATTATACGGCTCGAAGGTATAAACACCAATGCCGTAGGTTAAATAAGGAAATGGTGGAGCTGTAAGATCCTGTCTGGACTGAAACAACGTGCTGAAAAGGGGACGAGGCGCAAAGACGAAAAGTGACGTACGAGATGAAGAGAGAATCAAAGAAACGGGGGTGCTGCTATATATATAGATGGGCGCTTGGACAACCATTGCAGTCTATTGATCGAACTTGGCAAGATAATAATCCAAGTAGAGGAAGCAGACAATCGGCTTGCGAACCATAGCCTCGTTACAAGGAGAAAAGCCTTCGACTTACGAGGTATAATAGATTAAAATTTTACTAAACCTAGGGAAAAATGAACTTCGAAAGTAAGCTTCCGTCCTCCAGGAACACTCGCTAGCTGGGTCGAGCAATTCTAACCAGTTTCGCAGGGCTTGTATGATTTATCTCGCGCGGGGAAGTCGACCGGGTGCTTATTGGAGAACCTATCATGAGTAACTGGGATATAGGAAATACCGTACGCGAAGGCGATACTGTACAAGTCTGGGTATTTAGTGGAACTTCTGTCTTAGATCCCGAGGAGCCAAACGGCAAGATCGAGATCATCGGCCGCCTCTTGTCACCGGTGCCTGCGGCAGAGGTCGGGACTATCAGATGTATTAGGCTAGATGTAAGTCTTACCCGCCGTTATGGGCATATGGAAAGGCCGAGAAGCGAGACCCTTGGACTAATCTCAACATATAGTATGTATCACACGCCAAAGAAGCGAATGGTAAGTGGATTCTTTGCGTTTCCACGATTTTGAGCCTCGAGGATTCTGCCAATAGGCGCTCTGCCGTCCTAGCTTGTCACCTTTCACTTTCCCCGTCCCTGCAGGAATAAGTGCTAACGTAAGATCTATAGTGAAGGTTCCGGACGTACCTCCGTTGTCCATGTAAGTCGCGCAAGTCGGGCGTACGAAATCTAATTTCATATGCGCCTAGAATGCACTAAGGCAATCTCTGACCTGCATGCATCGTACTAGGAAGCCGGCTACGGCACTGGTAGATCCCTGGCCGGCACGTACCGTCATCCCGAAGCACACGTTAAAGGACGGTAGTGCGGACTACGGAGCTGAGCTCGCTATCGTAATCGGGAAGACGTGCAAGAATGTGAGCGAGTCGGAGGCGTTGAGCTATGTTCTCGGCTATACGGTCGCCAACGACGTATCCAGCAGGGTCGCACAGTTTGCACAGAGCCAAGCGTGCTATTCCAAGGGCTTCGACGGCGCTTGTCCGCTAGGACCGGTTCTTGTCTCAGCAGCAGTGATGCCCGATCCCAGCATATTCACCATTCGAGGATTAAAGAATGGTGAAGTAGTGCAGAGCTCCGGTCTAAGGTGAGCACGTCGTCGTGAAGCAGAGCCAGGGGTATGCGCGTTAGGACCATAATAACTAATTCATCCAGTGATATGGTCTTCAGCTGCGCGAAGCTGGTGAGCTTCGTATCGCAAGGGACCACACTATCTGCAGGGACCGTTATCATTACGGGAACCTCTGCAGAAGTAGGCTTCGGGAAGGTGCCACCCGATTACCTTCACGATGGCGACGAGTTTGTGGTGGAGTTATGGCCTCATATTGGAAGTTTATATTCTGTGTTCGAGACCGAAAAATAGAGGTGCTCAGCCCGCATGCTGACAGCCACCGAGTTGTAGAGGCATCGGAGTAATATGCAGTGTAAGGATGTCCTGGAAATAAAATGTCCGTATCACGGCATTGTTGGGCCATGAGGCCTATGCAAATTATAGGGGTCAGAGACGCAAATGCAAGTTGTGTTGCCCAACAGGAGGTAATGGTGGGTCGTGGGATATAATCGTCCACATCTAGGAAAAATTTCGACAAATCTTGGGCATCACCGGATGTTGTTTCAGCCTCGTGAGATCGAGTAAGCCCTCCGACAGCGGAGCCGCATTTGGCATTTTCAATAACTCCGTAATGGGTTATTCGATCTCGTGCTAGCGGTCAAATTTGTATGCCGAACATCGGGCAAACAGAGTAGAGTACTCGATCGCATGTGCTGAAAAGCAATGCTGACTGGCTTAGTTTAGCTCAGATTCATTCGACGCCCGTGGACCGTAGCCTACCGCGTAGTATTTATTAAGATTGATGTTAATAACCTGAGCCTGACAGGGGTTCATATGCAATGGAACGTCCGGAGAACCGGATTTGATTGCCGCATGCAAAGAAAAGACCACGAAGCGACGTCGACTTTGGGGAGGGGGATAAAAAAAAAAACACCATCCATTACCTCGGTCCCAGTCAAGTACCATGATGTGTACACCGTCATGAGAGAGATATTGGCTGATACTCCAATGCATAGTGAACGCTATGTCCTTGCTTCCTGCATGACACCCTCAAGTCCACCGACTAGCCCTTAAAGTTTGGTTCATTGACGTAGTGCAACAAACACATATCTTAAAGCATTGGCCAAGGGATCCTTTCTGGAAGATGCGGAACCTATGGCTGATATCCCAATGGACAGCAAATCCCGTCGAGCTAGCCAGACATGTATATCAACCTTATTATATTCTTTATTAGTATTATTTTTCCTTTATAAAATATTATTAGCTCTGGCCGCTAAGACTGCTGAGATACCCGTCTCATAAATTCCGGGACTAGGTAAACACTTCAGGAAGGCAGTAGATGATTTTATTCGCCGGAAATAGGCACTTCTACAATTCTGCAACTTGGCGTGCCTGCAGAGCCTATCTGAAGTGAACCACGGTAGGCTCAGCCAGTGTCGTTCGAGTAATGTTCAGAACGCGCGTTAGTTGCTAGACCAAGTTAACCAAACGATAGGCTGAGCAGGGTTTCCTTGGATGTCAAACGGCTCCTATTCATTTCATCAGCGGAGAAAATCGGGAAGGTATACAATAACATCCCCATCTTCGATTGCGCAAGACATCGACTTTCAACTGAGTTTATTCGGTTCTCATGACCGACCATTGGTGCCGTTTATAGATCCTTGTGCCTATCAGAAATGGACACGCAGTCAGTATTCCCAGGGCTGTTTCCCGTGGAAGATTTTAGTATTAAACCTTCGCAAAGACGATGTTAATTCTTGATAGAGAGGCTATTTCGAAAGCTAGGTTATGTATCAGTAAATCAAATGACAAATCTGCAATATATTTTTCATCGGGTGCTGGTTTGCCCTAGGTACTTGGACGATGCCCTCAAAATATCATAGATGCCGAAACTCTCGTAGCGCCGTAGCTCGCTGTCGTAGACAAGGGTCTTAAGTCAGATTCGTCTTACTCAACCGGATTGGCCAGTCGTAGGTGACAAGGACCTGATTGTGCATTTGTTCCTCTTCTTGACCCCTGGGCAGACCAATAATAGATGTTGATATTAAGTCCTGCAAGAACGGTCCTATCCGTGATAAACCGCAGTGGAGCTGGAGCCAGTTTGTACCACGATAGCAATCTTTCGATGGTGATGTCACTATGTACTGTAAATGCCTATAGAGGGGGGAAGTGGGTTAGCGCCTTGCACCTCTTGGCATTGTGGGATGTTAAGAGAGTTGAGGCAACGGGTCCGTGGAACGTTAGATCACAGCTCTGGGGGAATGCTTTTACACTCAAGTCGTTCCCTAATACTAACACTACCCTAGCGCATACTTGAGCCATTTGTTGACGGGGACCAACGGTTTGGAACGGTTGGACGTGGTTCCTCCGGAGGCTCGTCGTATGAACAAAAAAATCGTTAATAGCGCCTTATTCGAATCATTCAGGAGAGGGCATACTTCAGGTGTCGTAGATGGCGGCATCTTGCTAATACCCGCGAGAAGCAAGGGTGACGCCGTAAGACGAAAACGACTATGGAAGTCGCTTTGATATCGAGTACATCCCAACACAACTCAAATGGTAAGTGAGGACCCAAGCCCGCATAAGAGAGAGCAATCAAACTGCCCGGTAGTGGCATTTGAATGGTATTTTTGTGAGGCTTTTCCAGCTGAAAGCCCCAGCAGCCCCAGTCTGGAGATAGCACAGCGTCACTCGACGCCTCCGGCCTTTTAGCTGCAACCTCCATAATGGTTTGTGGGACCTGCCAAAGGATCGAGTAAGATCGGTCGGAACCAAGGTTTATGCGTGATACTAATCATTATTCTTCTGACATACAGTACAACGCATGTAAAAGGGCATTGGGTGTGAGTGTCTTAGTCGTTGAATCCTGCAATTAGTATTGGCTCGGCAATCTCGCTTGCGATCGAAATTCGGTCTTGTCCCGGAACGCCGTATTTTGGTTCAGAGGACCGGGTGTTTTTTGAAGTTGGACTCATTACCGGATCTACACATGCCAACAAAGTCTCCACCGTACGGAGAAAATACTTAGGGTGTAAAAAAGTACACAGCAGGAATCCTACGATCTTCCGTCTTCCGTCTTCCGAGCGCCTCACACGCCAGCGGCGGTAAACCGATGATTTGAAGTATTACGTACTTCGTTGCGGAGATGG